GTTTGCTTTGGTTGTGCTCGAAAGTGCTTTTGATTTGTTTCAATTTAGCACATATATTCTATTTTACCATGTGAACGTTAAGTTTTTAATCTCTCTATTTATGTTAAAATAAAACAGGAAATTAAGAATTTGAAAAATTGAGCCGGCCTAATTTTGGAAAATACGAAAAAGTCAATCATATATTTGTTGTCCACCCTATCTTCCTACTGTTATGGATCGTAAGCAAGGACAAATCCAAGGTATGAACCCAGTATTCAGTTCAAGTTTGTGCAATTTGTTTTACATTTTTCTGCATTAGATATTGACGAGTGTGCCACCAATCCCTGTGATGCAAATGCCTTCTGCTTGAACACCAAAGGCTCATATGAGTGCACTTGTCTTCCTGGATTTGAAGGTGATGGAGAAACATGCACAGGTAGAAATTTCGATTTTTAATTATCAAACTTTTCATATCTCGGAAGATTATCCAACGAACACGTGGCAGAAAGGGGAGAGTTGTCATACGGCAACAAAATCCTTCACTTGTTTCTGTAGAGATGGCTCCGGTCACGAAGCCTACATCCTGATTGGTTCTTAATGCGATCCAGATTCTCCTATCTCTACCCATGGGCACGGTAGCGCTTTCGTGAGTCGCCGAGAACATCTCTACTTTCGTTGCCATTTTTCGTTAATATATCTCGTTTTTCCAGCTGGGAAGCATTTTTAAGCAAAGACGTCGGCCACGACCTCAAGCCGACGAATAACTTGTGATCCTTTCTCTTCTCTCTCTCAAATCACTTTGTCTGCGTCGGGAACTATTTTGCTCTCTCATCTTTCTAACCACTGCAATTTTTTTAGGATTACCCCTAAATCCTCTCAATACCATTTCAGATGTTGATGAATGTTTGGCCGATCGCAGTCCTTGTGATGAAAATGCTACATGCATCAACACAAACGGCTCCTACACTTGCACCTGCAAGGAAGGATACACAGGAAACGGAACATATTGTCAAGGTGATCCTAACTTATCCACTTTTTAAAATAATTCAGCAGGCAACTTTTTGTAAGACCAATGGTATATTGACACAAGATCGGCTGTAGTTGAAACAACAATTCCATTCATTTTATTGCATATTGACTTTAGAGCCACTGACCGTAAATATCGAGAATCCGCCGACAGTTGCAAAATTTCGTAATTCGTTTTATTTTTTCTGAAGGACCCTTTTGATGAAAATTTTTCCAAAATTTTATCAAAAAGGTTTTGTCGCGCTTTTTTTTCTCCGAAAAATCGAAAAGTTCAAAATACGCCTAAATGGCCGTTGTCCCCCTCCAATGAAAAATTATGCAAATTCGGCAACTTCGTACGCTACAACGTGATGCAATCCCGCTCTTAAATTTTGTGTGCTAGCAGATGGTCCTTTCATCTCTTGGAAGATAATAATTTCTTGTTATGTTGTTATGTTTTAGTCTGAATAGTGAGCCGTTGAAATAAAGTACTTCGCTTCTCTTTCGCGGAGGTAAAATAAAAGTCAACTTCAGTGGCCTATAAAAAAAAATATAATAAAATAAAATTGTGGATTTATATTGCGCCGTTTCCATGACGGGATGATCAACTGCGCATTACAACAATGCATGGAATAAATACTAATTACATCATTACAACAATGCATGAAATAAATGCTAATTACATCATTACAACAATGCTTTGTAATAGATGCCAGTTACATCATGTGTAGTATAAAATATTAAAAGCTAAGCTAACTAAGAATAAAAAGCCTTACTAAAAAAATG